AATGTTCAGAGAACATTAAAAAGTAACATTCCTATAATGTTTAGACATGTAAAAAATGGAATGTTGCTTTAATATTCGCATAACCAAGACAAACGTTTTAACAAGTCTGAGAAATAATTTCATAACCTGATTGTAACGTTACCAAAACGTTGTTAGAACATAGTTTTATTAGCTCACTTAATATTTATGCCTTAATTTAATATTTATGTATTTGAATAACATATAAATATGATGCATATTTGTCAGTCAAATGAAACAGGTCAGATTTCTGTAATAGTGCTAATAAACGGACAACCAGTGTGTGTGTGTGTGTGTGTGTGTGTGTGTGTCTGTCTGTGTGTGTGTGTGTGTGTGTGTGTGTGTGTGTGTGCGTGTGTGCGTGCGTGTGTGCGTGCATGTGTGCGTGCGTGTGTGCCTGCGTGTGTGTGTGTGTGTGTGTCTGAGTGAATATTGATTTGTGCTGATGAAGGTTTGCAGTGTGTCAGATCTCAGATCTCTTTCAGCTTCTTCTGTAGGCAGAGAAACATTCTGGGCTGCTGGATATAAACATGCACAGATCTGACAGCATATTGTGTGATTAATGTACATTAAAAAACACATCGAGCTCATAATCATCAACTTTGTTTTTATCAATGTTATGTGGATATAAAGATTCAATTCACTTGGGTTTATATGATCACTTCTTTATCTTAAACAAAAAGCATATTTGGGGGTCAATACACATCCAGGCCCAAAATCAAATTGTATTGTATGTATTACTAAAATAGTACTAGAGTACTAAAATTAAGTAAAACTGAAATAAAAATAAATTAAAGCTAATTTATTTAATATTCAAAAATACACAACAAAATTATTAATATATATATACATATATGTGTGTGTGTGTGTGTGATAGTATTTATTAATATTTTGAATGAGCTCTTATTTTTATATTTCAGCTTTAATTTTAAGTATTTGTAAGTGTGTTATGTGCTTTTGTCATATTTATTTTTTAAATATTTCTATTTAGTTTATTTTTTCTTTTGGTTTTAGTTTTAGTAATTTTAATACTT